AACCCCTAAGCGTCCCCCACCCCCACTCCCAGGGGACCCACTCAGACCTGCCGCTGGGACTCCCTGCCATCCCCCTGGGTCTCCTTGGCCTGACACGCAGGTGGGCACAGTCTGACCAAGCAGCCTCTGGCCAGGTAATCCCCATGAGGAACACCTGGGGCTCTGGAAAGCCGCCTGCTTCAAAGTGGGGAGCCCAGGTAGACTCCCCCAAGTCAGGGCCAGCTTCCCCCAAGTCAGGGCCAGCTAAGATGCTCCTGAGCTTTCAAACCTCAGATCAGGCTCCCAGCCCATCCTCACCGCAGCATGCAGACCCTTGGGTCCCCTACCTGGGTCCCTCAGAAACACAGCTGGCCGCACACCTCCCTTCTCCCCTCCCAAAGGGCCACACGCCCCGCCCACCGGTCTCCTGGGTCTGTCCCCCTCCTGAACCGTGGCCATCGCCCAGGTGGTGCAGACTCGGTCCAGCCTCAGTCTTTACTGCCATCTAGTGGCTCCGGGACTCCGGCAGGGGTTGAGTTCTCAGAACGATTTAATTAGCATTTGGGGCCTACTCTGGGTGTCAACTCTGAAAGGTTCTCACTTTCTTCTCAACCGGAAGTGGAGGGTCACTGTGAAAGTCGGAGGTGTTTCTTGGAGAAGACTGAGGGAGCTCTAAGGACAAAGACTGAGGGAGGCGTCCACGGGAGCCGGGGAGGGAATTTTCCCGGTGTGAGCAGTTACCCCCTTTGTGGGGTTCGCAGCTCTCCCACTCTACAGCCCAGGCCACAGCACCCCTGGGAAGAGCATGAAAGAAGGATGCTCTCCCCTGTCGTGTTCACTCTGGTTTCTTGTTTTTTCAATTCCTCCCAGGAAAGGAGATGGTCTCGGTTCCCCAGGAGAAGAAATGCCTTTGGGAGCTGGAGAGTGTATCAAACTGCTGATGCTTCATTCCCTCACTCATTCAAAATGGACTAAGCAAATACTCTCTGCTGAGCACTGGGCTGGACACCAAGGCGACAAAGATAAAAACAGTCCCTGCCCTTTGGCACATTGTCAACTTGGCGGGGAAGACAGACGTGCCCACCAATGAGTGATACAGCGTGAGGGGCCCCGTGGCAGGAGAGTGGATGGGGGTGGTCAGGGTAGGTGGGCAGGGATGGTCTGCAGTCCGAGATCCAGGTGTGGGCAGGGTTGGTTCTTTCCGAGGCCTCTGAGGAAGGATCTGCTCCAGGCCTTCCTCCTTGGCACATAGATGGCCTCTTCTCCCTGAGTCTCTCTGCATCCTCTTCCCTCTGTGTGTGTGTCCAAATGTCCCTTTTAATAAGGACACCAGTCACTGAATTGGGACCCACCCTAATGACCTCTTCTTAAGTTGATGACCTCTGCAAAGACGCTGTTTCCAGATAAGGTGGAGTCCTGGGGTGCTGGGGGTCAGGACTTCAGTATATGAATGCCGAGGCTGGGGAGACAGGGTGCAACCCGTCACAGCAAGTGACACCTTTTGTCTGGAGACGGCCAGCCAGGAGGGTGTGACACTGAGCACCACGCCGTCAGACAAGTAGACGGTGGCCAGCCTCCCCGTGCATCACACAGGGCTCTCGTGCAAAGCTGATCTGTGAGAATATTCCAGACAAATTGAATATACAGCATTTGAGAAGCCAAAAGGGCTGGAAAAATGCATTTAGGGCTTAACAAAAGATGGAGCAGTTGGACAAGCAAGTAAGACACAGCATTAATTGGCAGCCACATTTTGTTTTCTCCCCACAGCTGCCTCGTGCAATCGTAAAACCACCGTACGTGTTGAAGACATGAAATTAAACACTTTTAAAAAGGCCAGTGTTCTCAGAGACCACGTTTTCAAGACAGCTTTTGTTCTATGTCTGAGTTTTCTCAATCAGCAGAAAACACTGTCTCCAACTGACAGGGGCACAAAGCGATAGGCAGAAGACACAGCCTTAAACATCTCTCGAGCAATTTTCCCTTCTGTCTTATCACCAGCTTCAAGACATGTTATTTTCATCTGAAGTACGCTTCCAATTTTTGCAAGAAAAAAGGCTTTTCATCTCTCCCCTTCCTCTTTTTTTTTTTTTTATTTTCCTCTCTGTCTCCTGAGGGAAGCTTAGGGGAAGAACATTCCTCCACTCGCCACGGTTTTGAAATCCCATAAAATATGCCAACGACTGGAGTGTTTTGGACTGATAAACGCCTTTCCAACCCACCATGTGGCTCCAGCACAAGCTGTCACGGCCATTATGCAAGCCCCATGTGGGGGCAAACCAACACGGCTTGGCAGGGAGAGGTGGGGGTGGAGACAGTGGGGAGAAGGGCCTGGCTGCCACCCCGTGTTCCCACCCTCCCACTTCCCAAAAGCAGGGGGAGCTGCAGAGGGCTAGAAAAGCAGCGCAGATCCCAGGAGCACTTATCTGCCAGCTGCTGCACACACAGCCCGTTCCCTCCCCAGGCCTCACAGGGCTGTGTTTGTGTTCTCTTTCACCCATACCCAATGGTATCGGTGTAGCTAGCCTACCATACCTCTGGCTTAAAAAGCTCCTTTTCCTTTGAACCTTTCAAACGCAGAAGTGAAGGAGGGCTTGGAGGCTAAAATCTTCCTGTCCTTTTTCATATCTTCCCCCCCCAAACCAAATAAAAGAGATTTCAAGAGCAATTTGATGGGTGCTGGCAGCGGTCAGCCTCAGGAATACTCTGAGCTCCTGGGACCTCGAGGGTACCCAAGTTATTTGGGCAGATGAAGGCAAAGGTCCCACATGGGGCCATATTTGACATCTGTGTAGTAACTGGGAATAAACATGTTGGGACAACTATGTCTTGTGATGCCTTTATGGGCATGTACCATCATCATTATTCATTCCTTTCTTCATTCAAAAAATATCTTTGGTGCCACTCTGTGCGAGGGGCTGCTCTAATTACTGAGTATATAAAATTTTTAAAAAAATTATTCCCTACTCTCATGGAATCCAAGCTCTATGGGGCTCAACAAGCAGTAAATTAAAAATTTACACTGGTTTCATTTGACGACCAATCAGCAAGGTGTCATCAGTGGACTAGAAGTATGTCCTGCCCAGCCACTGCCCAAGCCAAGGAAGTACAGGCTGCCTCTGGGCTGGTGTCACGACACTTCACTTCTTCCCTTGAGTCCAGCATGTTGTACCCCATCCATGTCACATGACCTTCCAGACCATCATTGCTCTAGGAACTCATGGCTAGAACCAGAGTATGGATGTGACTGACAGTAGTTGACATGTGACAGTCTCCAGGAGGGTTTGCAGCAGCCCAGATTGCAATGTGTCCCCAATCACCTCATAACACACCTCCCTCTCTGGGATCTCAAGCAGAGAGAGCCCCAGCTCCAGGCAGATGGCATCCAGCGAACACATGCCTGGGTTCACTTCTTCTCTTCTCCCCTTCACCCCAGTCCCATGGCGTTCTGTCGGCAGAAGCCTTCCCAACAGGTAAGAGAGAAATGGCATGTATGGGGAGTGTGGGCTTTAAACATTCTGCTCCTTCCAGCCATGGCTGATGGGTAATGTATGGCAGGAACCTGCTCAGGAGAATAAATGGGTGATGTGTCATCATGCTCAGGATTAGGGAGCACTGTATTTGTGCATGAGCACTGACACCCACTGACTTCCCTGTGGCAGCTTGCAAAATGAGAGCCTCTAGAGCAGGGGTCCTCAAACTTTTAAACAGGGGGCCAGTTCACTGTCCCTCAGACAGTTGGAGGGCTGGGCTATAGTTTAAAAAAAAAAAAAACTATGAACAAATTCCTATGCAAAGTGCACATATCTTATTTTGAAATAAAAAAACAAACAGGCGGCCGGGCGTGGTGGCTCACGCCTGTAATCCTAGCTCTCTGGGAGGCCGAGGCGGGCGGATTGCTCGAGGTCAGGAGTTCAAAACCAGCCTGAGCAAGAGCGAGACCCCGTCTCTACTATAAATAGAAAGAAATTAATTGGCCAACTGATATGTATATAAAAAATTAGCCGGGCATGGTGGCGCATGCCTGTAGTCCCAGCTACTAGGGAGGCTGAGGCAGAAGGATCGCTTGAGCCCAGGAGTTTGAGGTTGCTGTGAGCTAGCCTGACGCCACGGCACTCACTCTAGCCTGGACAACAAAGCGAGACTCTGTCTCAAAAAAAAAAAACAAAAACAAACAGGCAAAAACAACCACATGTGCCCCGCAGGCTGTAGTTTGAGGATGCCTGGTCTAGAGAGACAAAAATAGGACTTTATTTTATTATCTCCAGTGTCCTTCTTTTAGTGGCCCCCTCTTCTCTCTTCTTACTCTGTTGTTTCTGTGAGGACAATTCCCCCTCTGTATCTGTGTCCTGGCCTCTCCTGACTCACCAGAGGTCTGCTCAGCCCTACACAGGCTCAGAGGGCATTTATCACCCCTGTGGACATTGCCCACCTGGTGTCAAATGAAGGGGGAAAGTTGAGTCATGCCTCTCACCTTCCTCTTTACACCAAAATTAAAATTAATTCCAGTTGGATCATAGATACCAATGTGAAAAACGAAACTATTACAATATTAGAACACCTGGATAAACATTTTAAGACTCTTGAAATAGAGAAAGCTTTCTACGTTTGTCAGGTATAAATCCAAGTCAACAAATTTAGCGATACAAAAATGTCTTTTTTTTTTTTTTTGTAACTTAATTTGCATTTCAAGCAGGCCAGTGGGGCCTCAACTCCTGGGTTGAGCCTCAATTCCGGACCCTCAAACGGTGCGGGCAGCGGGCGTCTGCTCTGCAGCACGGGGTCACGAGGGTCCCTCCACCGGCACGACCCCAGCCCTCCCACGCCGGTTCCCGCCATCCATCAGCCCTCCACGCGCTCGGCCACGCGACCCACGTGCCTTCAGGTACAGGACTGCCAGATTTAACAAGAATGGATGCACGACCCAATGAAGGACACGCAATTAACGTTAGTTTCAGATAAACAATGAAAGAAGTTTAGTGTGTCTCCCAAATATTGCCCCTCCCCCCAGAAACAATAGTTACCTGAAATTCAAATTTAACGGGCTTCCTGTATGTACTCTGGCAGCCCTATTCCAGTAGGATGGCTGTGACCATCAGGACTCCAGGCGTCCTCATTCTTGTGTGGCAGAGCCAAGGGAGGAACCGGAGAGTCACCGAGTCAAGGACTGACAGGGGTCCCCACCAGCCACCCAGGGCAGGCCCTTCCCTTCCGCCTAGCGGGGGCCATCTTGGGTCACGTGCTTACTCCTGAGCCAATCACAGGCTCCAGGAGCATGTCTTGCGTTGATTGGCTTAGGCCTGGGCACTTGCACCAATTGCTGGCCGGGGCTTATGGGGCCCTGATTGGCTGAGACCCTGGACCCACCTTTGAGTATTCAACACATTGCCACGCTAGAAAAAAAATTTTTTTTATTCTTTGGGGCCACTGCGATTTATTACAAAAATAGAGTAAAAATTCCAAAAAGAAAAGATCCTTTCTAATTTAATGAAAAATTTTTTATTTTTATTTTTTATTGTTCTCTGTGTGTGAGTTATACGGAACTTGAAAAGGTCACGCAGCTCCCCAGTTAAAGAGACGTGTGAGTGACATATGCTTCGCGAGGCCCTGGGCTCAAAACTAACGTGAGTTAAATACAACTCACGTGGCAGTTAATGTATTAAATTCAACATCAAGATAAATTTATGCAACTTGAAGAAAGTACTGCTTGCAAGAGAGAAGGAAAGGAAAAACAACATTCTGGGTCCTCTTGCTGCTGGGCTTTTTCCTGATGATGGAGTGGGTCTGTCTTCCTGACGTTGCCTGGAAGGGCTGGAGCCAGTGAACGCTAGGGGCCGACACGCTTTCCTAGGATCAACTAACTGGGTCTTTCACAAATATGAAACGCTTGGAGTCTACAGCCACACCACCCTGAATGCGCCCGATCTCGTCTGAAACGCTTGGAGATGGAAATAAAGAGGACCTTGTTCCCTCTGGTGAACGTTAGCCATTCACTGAGTCTAGTTCTGGGTTTACAGATATAAACAAGACAAAATCCTTGCCCTCGAGGCGCTTGTATTCTACTCTTATAGTAGTAACTCAACACAATGCACTAACCGCTGGCAAAGCATTTCCCTCCTGCCTCCCCCCCACCAAAAAAAAAAGTGTCACTAGAAGCACAGGAAAGGGACAACCAAGTGCTTGGAGGGTTGGGGTGGCAGCAAGAGAAGATAAAGTCTGCACTGAGTCTCACGTGATGCGTGAGCATTTTCGAGGTGGAAAGTGGCAGGAAAAGGGCCCAGACAGCCAGCAGGCATTTGGTTCCTCGCGCTCGCCCTTTTTAGCTGTGTTTTTGTGGTTTTGTAACCCATGTGGATCATAACCGAACCTCTTCCAACCTAAAGTAAAATCACTCTGACAGTAAGGTAACTGCGGTTACACCTAACTCAAGGGAATTTTGGAAATAAATACTGCGTGCTGGACCTCACGTGTCCTAGCAAGAAGCCACGACACTGTGCTTGTCTTTCTTCTACCTTCTCCCTTCTTTCTTTTTCCTTTTTTCCTCCAGCAACAGGGTAAAACCAGCTTGCAACATTTCCCCACTGGCAGGGGAGCTAGGGAGATGGAGTAGAGGGAAAATGTGAGGATTGTTAGCAAATGTTTAACTGGTTTATTGAGTAGTCTCAGACTCCAGGGGTATAAACACAAAATGGTTTTATATTTTCTCTAATCAATGCCTTTAGCCACGCTCTGTCAAATTGCACAATCGACATTACAGGCAGATCACATATTTTTTTCCTTCTGATCATTTTCAGTTACAAGAACTCCTTCCAGTTTTTCTTTTTCCCACCCACTCCCTTCCAGTTTTAAACCGCAACCCCATGTCCAGTGCAAAGCTCTGAGCTCCCATTCCTGCCACACCAGCCCAGCTGTGGCTCTGAGACAGGAAGGGAGGGGCTGCCCACCTCTCTCAGACTTGGTCTGATTCCAGCTGCCCCGGGTAGCATCTGCTTTCATGCTGGTCTCCGTGGAGATGGTGTGCCCATCACCCGCACCCCCACATTTCCTGGGGTGATGTTCAGACTCACGCCAGACATCTCCATTACCAAGGACGCCTTCAGAAAGGAATCCTCACGTCTCCCTTCAAGCCCTGCCAGTGGTACCAGACTTTTAACACCTTCTCTGGGTAAGGTGTCCCTCACTTGAGAGCAGTCTTGGCAGTCCATGACTCCTGCCTGTCCTCAAAATCATGGTCATTCACACAGAGCCACAGAAATCAATGAGGGTCTCTATAGTGCCTTCTAAGGGCTGTAAAGATATTGGGAGGGGATTCTCCATCTGTTCTTCCTGGGCAATTACACCCCAGTCCCTACTTGCCCAGCCATCGCCAGCTGCTCCAGCCAGATTCCTGCCTCAGAATGGTCCACTTGGGAAGCAGACATCAGTTTCTATGCTCACATACATGCCACACTCCTGAGAACCCAGGCCAAGATTCTGGGCACAACTTCTCCGTGCCCCAGTCTGTCCTGAGAGCAGGAGAGATGGAGACTGCAGACTCTGCAGCTCCACAAGCACCAGGTGGGGCGTGAGCTGAGCTGCCCATGACCTCTGCTTGCAGGAGCCCCAAATATTGGAGCCCCACTTGTTTGGCTTGGCTGGGAGGGAAACAGTGCCTCAGCCAGCTTGGATTTGGGGAAAGAGTTCCTCTCCCCTCCCTCTGCTAGAATGACAGCACTATAGAGTAAAATCATAATATGTTAATCACTTATAATCAAAACAATTCCTATGCATTATTCCATCTACCCTGCAAGAAATATTCTGTTACCTCCATCTTACAACGAGAAACTTGAGATTTAAGGGGAATAAGTAATTTGCCCAAGATTGCATACTCAGAAGTATGCATTAATTAGATTTGTTCTGTCACAAAGACACCTCATAAATCTCAATGGCTTACAGCAAGGCAGGGCAAACTACTGCCAATAGGCCAAATCTAGCCCAGCACATGTTTTTCTACAGCCCATGAGTTAAGGATTTTTTTTATTTTATTATTTTTTTGAGACAGGGTCTCAATCTGTCACCCCAGCTGGAATGCAGTGACTTGCAGTTCGCCGCAGCCTTGAACTCCTGGGCTCAAGGTATCCTCCTGCCTCAGCCTCCCGAGTAGCTGGGAATACAGGCACATGCCACCACACCCAGCTAATTTTTTTATTTCTTGTAGACACGGGTCTCAGTGTGTTTCCCAGGCTGTACATGTTTAAAGGGTAAAAGAATAAAATAAAATAAGGAATATTTTGTGACATGAGAGAATTGCATAAAATTCTGATTTCAGTGTCCCCAAATAAAGCTTTGTTGCACACAGCCACACTTGTCTGTGTCATATCTCTAGCTGCTTTTGCATGACAGCGGCAGAGTTGAGGAATTGCAACAGAGCCTGTCTGGCCCTTTACAGGAAAAGTTTGCCACCCTCTGCCAACTTTTATTTTTTTCCCTCACAGTTCTCGGATTGGCTGGGATTATCTGCAGGCTGCAGGTCAGGTTCCGGTTGGCTCTGCCTCTGTCATTCTGGGACCAGCAGCTACCCAGGGCGTGCTCTTCTCGTGGCAGCTGGAGGAAATCAAGAGGGATGAGCAGAAACACCTGCCACCACTGATGACCAGGCTCACGGTCACGTCCTCCCACGCCCCACGTGCTCTGCCCATTCTAGCGGGAGGAGCTGCAGAGGCACATGCTGAAGGGCAAGAATTTATAATTCTGACTCCAAGAGGGAGTCAAGAATTGGAAGCAAAGGTCTCATTGACCAGCGTTGGGAGATTCAGGATTTGAACTCGGGACTGTCTGATGCAAGAGTCTGTCTTTGTTCCTCTGCTACACTGACTTCTGTCCCGGGTAAACTGTTAGGTGCAAGAAAAAGAGAATGGGGGAAAAAAGAATGCAGAAAGACTCTCCTATCATTCTCCTCCCTCAAGGGCTATTCCAGGGCATCACCAGGCACCATCCCAACAAATCACCCTCTTCAAGTAACACACAAAAGCCAGCCACTGTAAACAAAATCAGAATGGCTTCTGAAGCCTCGGGAAAGCCTCAGCAAGTGCTCGCAAGAGCAGCGTATTCACAAGAGCAGCGCCGTGATTAATAACCGAGTGCATAGTGGCAGGGGCTTGAAAAATTCTGAAGAGCATCATTTCAATTACCCAGCAGGCGGTTCTTGGAGCGAGCTTCTCTCCCAGCCAGAACGTCGGTAAGTTGTGTGTGTGTCTGAAAGCCCTTACAGACGAGCGGAAGGAGATGGGAAAATAAAACTTTACAATTACCCCTGCGCCGGGTTTTCACCGAGGCGGGGAGGGGCAGACCCACTGCAGCCCCCAGCCCGTCGGCTGTGAAAAATGAAGAGTCACAGAAGTCGGGCCGCTGGGTGTCTGTGGTGCTGACAGTCAGGGCTGGGAGCAGCGTGGGAGAAGGTGACGAATAAATGCCCAGCGTCACACAACTCAACGGGGCTCCCGCGGCCCAGAGTCGATTCTCCATGGCATAATGAAATCGGACTCTTGCCGGGAAATCGGCAGGAGAGAGAAAGGAGATATGAAACACAGACACGCTGCTCAGCCTGTAGCTGCTGTTTCTAAAGAAAGACACGAGGAGCAGAGAAATGCAGCGGATAATACAGTGGCGCCGACACATTGCAGAACCCGCTGGGTGGAGATTCTCTCTGCAAGCTCCAACCGGAAATCCAAGAAGCTAAGAAACAGGGAACGTGGAGAATCTTTGAATAACCCCATGTCGGAAATGTTGTACTTGTCGAGGTGTCTTCTGGGTTCAAATCGCCCTGCATATGGCCCTGCAGGATGACGCTCCAGATAAAATCAAATTTTCCTGGGCAGGTAAATTTGCTTACATATGTAGAGGAGTGAAAACTACCGTTGGTTGAGAACTTATTTGTGTCAGGCACAAAATGCTTTACAGACGTGATTCTGCTTAACCCTGCCCATGAAACAGGCAGAACCCTGCCTGGGCTACACACAAAGAAACTGAGACAGGAAGGTTCAGTAACTTGCCCAAGACAGCCCAGCTCCTAAGTGAGAGGGCTGGGGTTGAACATTGGATCTGAGTGCAGACCAGTGTTTTTCATCATTTGTCATACGGCCTCTCAAAAGAGTAGGTTCAGTGCAGTGGACAGGATTCCTTCAGGGACTTGTGTGTCATTTGGGATGCTGTTCAGAGAACTACACTGTTTGAGAATCTCCTCACAGTGTCACATTGCAGGAGGTTCCCTTTCCTCTGCCACTTCCAAACCAGTTTGAGTCGTACAAATGTCTTCTAAAC